TGAAACAATTATCTATTACTTAGGAAATGTCTCTCCTTTGTTTTCTGTTTATTTTTATTTTAGATTGTCTGAAAGAGAACTTGTATTACCTTTTATAGAGTTTTTTTGTTCTTTTTCCAGCCCTATTAGGTAGAGACTGCTGCTAGTAACTTTTATATTTCAGGTTTTTTTGTATCCTAGCTGCTGCCACATAAAGAGACCAGTCCGCATCTTTAGCTTGACTACCCATCTGTAGACCATTGATTAAAAAAGAAAGATTATCGACAACTCATTCTAACCAAAACATAATATTTGAAGAATAGATATTTTTATAATTTAATTACAAAGTTTACAATAAAATAAAATGCAATGATCCCTTCTCGTTCCTGTATATATGTATATGTAACTCTTTGAAGTTATTGCTGTATCTTAATAATGTCATCCTAGTTCAAGTGAATATTGTTGCCCAAATGTTTAGGTAACATAACAATTTCAATAGTACTATCATGACAAAGATTTCATATTCAAGTTCTTACTATAATGACCAGCTTTGAGTGGGCTTTTTAAGTGTTAATTTTATTGAAGCAACTTTTTAAAAAAATACATACTGTTAAGTGTACTGAAAAGAAGCCTTTTGAATTTAATTTTGTTAATGGTATTAGTAAAAATTAAGGCTAATCAATATAATGTATTATTAAAGCAATAATATAAACTAAAAGCCTAATTAAACTAAAACCTATAGATGATTCACTTTTTACATTTATATTTTGAAAGATAATTTCTTAAGATAACAAAAATAGATTTGCAATTACATGAATTTGTCATGGAATTTTAATTCTTTATCCTTAAGTTTATAGTTTTAAGTAGGATGTTGCTTACAAGAGGTTTGAGAGAAGGATTATACAGGAAGAAGTTTTTCTAATCCTTGAGTTTCTAGATAATCAGTTAAAATAATCTCAATACTTTAGTTAAGATTTTTATATAAAACTTCAGAAAATTTAAGAAATAACCTTTATACATTTGAAAACAAAAATCTTTAACATTGTAGATTCACAAAGTAATATTTTAAGTTTGAAAAGTATTGTGCCAGCCCCACATTTTGTAGATCTTTAAAGACTGACCTTGGTACTCCTGTGTAATAAGGAGGTGACCTGTGTAATTATTCCAATGTTACAGATGAAGAGACTCAGGCACAGAGAGATGGAGGGATGGAAGGGATCTGGTCACAAGCAAGGTAGCAGCAGAGCAGAGCACACAGTTCAGGACTTCAGGCAACGGCTGTTGCCACCCCAGACTGCATTTCACAGTGAGTCTGCTGACATCTGAGACTGAAGGGCCCTTCCACATAATGTGAGGGAAACCTTTCAGTAATGTACGGATGCAGGTGTAGATGACACAGAAATCCCATCTGGAAAATTCCTTAGTTGGCCTCACAAAATTATTATAAGTAAAAAATTTAAGACTTGTTAAAAGATTATCTACTGTTAAATTTTGACCTACTAGGCTTGAGGGTGTAACTCAGTGGTAGCATGCCTGCCTAGCAGGTATGAGGGCCTGTGTTCAATCCCTAGCACTGCAATAAATAAATAAATGTGATGTACTAACATAAAAAGAAAAATCCAGATTGTTAATACAGTTCACAAAATACTGGTAGAAAATATGTGAGGTTCAT